ATCCTTTAACTATTGTTATCATACTACCAATTATACTGTTTCATACAAAATTCAGCAGTCAGGACAGGAATTTTGCTAATTTTTCTTCATCACCGTGAGACCACCAACTCGTGGAAACTGGAGATTGACTCACGCGGTGATGCAGTAAACAATCGACTAAAGTCATCTTTCATAAAAGTACTTTCAGTAAAAGCAGCCTTGTGCTAAAATGAAAGCATAACGAAAACTGGGAGAGTTTGTGAATGCAATTATCAGTAACAATTAGTAATTGTTTTCGCATTTCTTCATCATTATTTTCCATTTTAAGACTGGTAAAATAATAAATTGTTCCAATCCATGGATTCGCGGATTAGGATTTATTGATGGCAGCACTCCATGAAGAATCAAAACACAATTTATAAGCCAGTATTACCCAGGACAGTTCCCAAAACACGTTTACAGTGATCGAAAAACTACGACAAACACGCTGAAACAATCAGCAACACAGTATTCAGGCTATCAGACTATAACGGTGAACAACTTCATGGCAAAATGCTAAATACAGCTCCGGATTCTGTCAATCGCTCTCGGAACTCAATACACTCAAGACTTTCTTCACGATAAAATTCACGATTTACTCGACGAGACGCTCACGGTAAACTCGACAATGCACTGCTACTCCGCGTGCTGGCGGGGTTTATATAGCTTTTGACCTGAATATTGTGTTTGTATATTTCCTAGGATTACTGTTAAAAAATTGGTTTTACATAGAATAAGTCAAATAATTTTTATTTATCCATTCTGATTTCTTTTAAATAAGAAAATTCCATAATTTGGAAATTTTCATGTCATGCTGAAGCATATAAAATGCAAGATATTACTTTAACGCAGGAAAGATATTTTAAGTAACGTAGCAAATTAAATCGTGAATAATAAAATTTTCAGTTGATATAATAATACAAATGTGACAGGAGAATTGGGGCAAAGCGTCATTACGCTGAAATTTCCCACTACTTAATTTTAATGCTATTTAAAGAACCCGACTATGTTCGAAACACAAATTTTGGAAGTAATATAAATAAATAAATTATTAGTGTTATTTAGCAGAGAAACACGTCTTAAACATATTGTTGCGTTTCTCTCTTCACGCACGTTACGGTACGGGTTCGTGAAGATTTGGAGTGAATAACGACAACAGCACTTGATGAAGTATTAGAACACACTTTATTGGCCTATCGGAAGCTATCTTACCGCGCCTGGACATGTCGTAACAATATTTTCAAAGTGTAATTTTTTTTTTTTTTTTTTGTTAGATTTTGGGTTACAAATGTGTTAAATTTCAGGATTACTAGATATATTCCCACAAAAATTCTTATCAAGATTTTACTTTTATTTTTGTATTTTAAATTTGTTAACTTATAAGGAATTAAATGGACTAATATCGAGAAATAAAATGTCTATTAAATATACCTGTTTGACTGCATACATTAGGTGCTTTTCCACAAATTTCTCTCTTTTCACTTACAAAATTGTCTGAAAAAATTGTAAATACGTACATAGACCTAAACTTTTATTCCATTTAATTTACAATATTTTGTAGAATTTTTTTGGAAAGTTTCGTAAAATTAGTCTTTGCCTATTAGCCTAAGTTTTAATTTTTAAATTGGGTTGTTATTTAGTTACATCGCCACAAGTTGTGGTTGCCTTCGTATTAGTATGAGAAAGCGCATTTATCTTCAAAGTTTGAATTTAAATAAAGATGTTATTTTGAAAGCTTTCCAAACCTTTGTAGCTAATATTCGACACAGCCAGTCTGTAAATAGTTTATGCTCCCAAAGTAAGTCAAACTCTATAGTTTTAGTAATAATTTATGCAGAAAAATTTCCAGATTGAGGAAAAAACTAAAAAGTCGGAAACCTAAGGAAAAAGGAAAGTCTACCCGGTAAGACTGAGAAATGGAAATGTTGGGGATTGTAAACGTAATTGTAAAAATCCTTATACTGAATTGGAATTGATTTAGATATGATTAAATTTAATAATAGAAAACTTAAATATTTAAACAGTTTTAAGAATTTAACTTTAAAAATAGTGTGTGCGTAGTATGTAAAGGGAAGATATTAAATTTTAAAATTTAAAAAAAGTTAAAACTAAATAGAAAACTTCCTTCATATAATTACTTATGTATGTGTAAAAAAGATTTAATTGATTCTAAAAAATTAAATAAATGATAAGCTATACATAAAGAAATTTTTAAAAAGAGTAATATGTAAGGACTGGAAGTAGAAAAAGTTGTGAAAAGGAAAAAGATGAGTAACAGTAAAAAGTCTTAACTATCAAGCGGATAATAGAACTGGGATATAAATTCTTATTTGTTAATAACATAGATAGAGGGATTATTTATATATATAAGTAGTCCATACCGGTCGAACATACCGTACCTAGAAATATATTTAGGCGAACAAGAACACTTTTGGCGTTATAGTTATAGCATTAAATTAATATTTTAAAATTATTAAAATGCACGTGTAACTTGGATATAATTTTTAGAACAACACTTCAAAGGAAGAAAGTAAATCTTATATCTTACATTTTCATTCCTACCAAATAACAACCTAATTAATTTTCATGAATACTGCGATGTTAGTATGGTTTTCCTCAAAATATGTTCTAAAATGTTACAAGTTTAAAAAACAAAGATTTATGAATATTTTCCCTCTGAAAAGCAATTTCATGCACAACTAACAATACAAATATTCAAATACAATAACGCAAATAGTTAAGTAACCAAGAATGTCATTACAGCTGTTAAAACAATGTAGTTGACAATTTAGTTAAGACTAGAGGCCACGAAATTAATTTCGAACACTCGAATGCAACACGAGGACTGTAATTAACACAGGAGACCCATGAGATCACGAGCTCGTACGTTGAAGATTGCTCTCTTTAGAGTAGCTTGGAACAATTTGAAATGGAAAATGTCAACTGCTTTAAAAGGTACTTAAAAGATAAATGTTCACCTATAAATTAGATGTACAGAATTTTGACTTAGTTTCGAACAAAAGCACTTGTGAAACGCATTAACTGCCACCATCATGTTCAAATATTTTGTGCCAGTAATATTTTAATTCATTTTTGCCTGTGGTAAGATTTCGTAAATCATTCTTAATACGCAAATTTCTTTTGCAAATTTAATGTAGTTCAAAGAAGATTAGAAACATCGCATCATTTCATTAGTATACTCAAGAAGCTTTAATTCTGATTAAGTAACCGGAAGCAACTATAACGGATTTCTCAAGTTCAATGCTAGTATAAGCTCTAAAATAATTTTGATAAAAATGTAAAAAATAATAAAGAATATTAGAAACAGAACGGATAGTGATTCGGGTTTCTGACTTAGAGAATATTACAACTGACAGAGTTTGAAATTGTATAAGAGTATGTATGCAGCGTATCCACATATGTTCTTATTCAGACTTTAATTTCACAGCTGTAGGTCGTGTTTTAGTTAATTTTTGATAAATTGTTTTTAGAATCACAACAGTCTTGCTCTCAGAAATAGTTTATTGATTTGATTACATTACAAATATAATTCATTTTACCTATTGCCTGAACAAATGGATTCTGTTTGAGTATATGTGTATCTGCGTTTATACGTTGCATCCATTGTCCGGCAATTATTCTTAAATAAAAGTTTTGATGAAGTTCATGGCGTACTGTAGCTAATCTAGGTTTATATCAGGTTTTCGACTTTCAACGTGTAATAGTCAGATTTAAATTTTCGACCAGCAAAAAGGTAATTATATGCAATTTACAGATATAAATATTACTTTTTGACTCACTATATGAAGATGTACTCACTCATATATTAATCAACGCAAATAAATTAAAATTATTCTTACATTCACGCTAATTCTTGCAACATCCAAGAATCGATAAATTTGAGCAGTTTCAAATTATATCCATTATATCTTTGCATTATGTAAGTAAGTTAATCGTATTGTTGCTCGTCAGCTTCGTGTTGAGGTTCCATTTAATTTTTATTTCATTTTAATCTAAGGACGGGAAGTTATTTGTGTTTATCTATCAATTTATGTTTCCAAAGATTCTTTCAATTCTAGATATACTTTTTAAATCGCTCGCAAAATAATTAAATTTTCTTAAGGTCTTATTACATAATTTAAATAGAGCTTAATGCAGCAACTGGATATTATGCACATTATATGTATTCAAATAATATATAAAATACAATTTTTCTTATTCTAGAAATAGAATTGCAAAGATAGAGAATGTTCTTTAAAAATAATACTTTTCGAATAACTTAAATGCGGAGAAACATTGCGAGCTTTAAACGAAGCTTAAGTTTCCTGATAAAATACCCCAAGTTTAGTTCTGTGGCTCAATCAAAAGTGAAGAAATTCTGGAAAAAAGCGATATGTGATAAACTAAATTACTTTCAACTCAGTCACTCTGTTAGTTAATTACTTCCTAATGAGCTCATAATAAAGTAACGAAGCAATCTCACTTTTGCATTTTTCAAGACTTTGTTATACTACTGTAAACGTAAGTCATTTTAGTAATAAGAAGCAAGATGTGTAAAATAATGCATAATAGAGAACAAATTGATTACACAGATCGGAATAATGGCAAATAAACTAGAAGGGTTACATTTTAAGAATAATCTAATATTTCACTTAATTTTCGAATAAACTGAAAATTTTGGTAATTATTACTATGCTTTTAAACAGCATGTGATAACATCACTGAGCATTATACGCAGTAAATATCATTTAAGGCAAGTAACATTACTCATATTTATGAATTCTTGTGTTATGCTTGCTCAGCGACAGGATTTGATATATATTATATAAGATGCATCACTTAAATAATATAAATAAAGATTCCAATGATCGTCAACTAAGATAATGAAAAGATGTATTGAAGTACTATGAAAATCACATAAAATGCTTCAAACGTGACTAGTAAAAAATCTTGAAAGTTAATGAAATGAGAAAACAATTTACCTGCTCCAATCCTACATTATCCACATTCCATGCTATAACAGGTATTCCAAGATATCCAGTAAGCTGCAACAAATACTGAGCTGTTGCCACATTGCCGCCGTACACCGAGCCATGTGCATGGGCGTTGGTCATGTACATAATAACTGATACATTTTCAGCAAGAACCCTTTCGCACAAGACATCCAAAACGGTAAGAGGACTTGCAGAAGTATCCATCTCAACTAAGTGAGCATGTAATTGATAGCTGTTGGTGAACTTGAATTTGACATATTTGTTTTTGTTTCTGTTGACGTTTTTTGTGGCTTCTGTCAATGCTTTGCGAATGGCACGAGAAGGTTCTTTGAATCCATATTGGGGAAGAATGGCTCCAATTGATATAGTTGTAAAATTTTCCGTAGGGGCAGGCGTGACCGGGATCAGGGACGACTTCCTAAAACTAGAGTAGCTTTGAATTGGTAATATTAATGTTGCCAAGTACAGCAGAAGCATGATTATTTCGCATAAGTGCATACTGAATGCTTTGTTATTGCATCTGAAAATTATTCTTTATTGAATGCTTAAGCTAAAAATTAACATTTTGATGCGATTGTTTTTAATAATGATTCCTCTTAAATTGAAAGAAATGATATAATATAAGAACGTGAAAGATAAGTGAAATTAAAATGTCCATATACACATTACTCTAATCATTCCAAACTTCAACAAATTAAGTGCGGGTTATTAATTTGCTTTTGATTGCAAAACTATATGAAAGAAATAAAATCCTAATTGAATAAGTTTGCTATTTGAATTGTATATGCACTTTAACATTATTTAGTTTATCTCTTTAGATGGAAAACGAAAATGTGTTTTAGCAACGAATTAATTTTGCTACATTTTGACAAAACATTTTTTCATTAAAGAGAATTTTACTGCTTATAGATATTTTAAACAAGCTATAAACATTGTATAAATACTTTTCCTTAAAACCTGGCATGATGCTTTTATTACGAAAATGCAAAACATTTGTGAAACTCTTAATGGCAGCTTTCAGATTTTAAGCACATTAAATGAGAAACAATGTTTAATTGAGTTGCACACGAAAAAGTGGAGATTAAGCTATAAAAATTCTGTTGCATTTGCTTCTAGTTGTGAAATTGTTACTGGTATAACGAAGATGTGTAATGAAGTATTTTAACGAAAAATAATTTACTTAATTTGATTCAAGTGTGTATTTGCTAATATATGATATAAAGCAAGTGAATTAATAAATAATGTAGAATACAGAGCATCTATTATTCAAATAGATTTGAATATGTGAGCAATGTAAATCAAGTCGTATTACTTCTTTTTAATGTTTTATATTTAGTTAAATTTCTGATAATTCTCAGTTTGTTTGATGTCAAATATCATTACATTAATCTGAAGACAATCGAGCAGCTTTCCACCTCCATGATATTTCCGCTTAGTGTTACCTGAAAAAAAAAGAAAGTACACTTATTAAAATGCAGTTGCATCAAAAAAAATCTATTAAATAAAACTTGTCCTCATAAATACACTCAAACACTATAGAAAGACGATATTCGCATAGTTTAAAGTATTTGTGCAATAATTCCCCTGTTAGCAAAGTGGATAAAGCAAGTAGAAAACAAAGGGATTTATGAAAAACAGTTTGACAAAATTTAATCGCGATTCTATATACTGAATTTGCAACTGCCAATTCATTTAATACACTTTCATTTTTCATAGTAATTGCATGCATGAAAATTATTTCAATAGATGTTTAGGCGGTAGCTCTATTAACATCTTGCTTTTAGAAAGCATTACGTTTTAATGGTATAAAATTTACGTTATTTTTATTATAAAAATTGGATAATATTGAATAAAGTGTTGAATTCCTGTTATTTAATACACGTTTATTAACTAAATTATGAAAATCTTCATCATGAAATAACTTTTAATCTTAAATTAATCTATACACCGAGTTAGTTATTTTATCAAATTCAAAAAGAAACATGCCAACGTGAAGCTTAATATTAGGCAAAAGGAACGTTAGCTTCGCATAGCATTTTCTCTGAAGGTATCCTGCGTGTGATCATCCTTGAAATTGACAGAATTGTATTCAAAAGCAATGCAGAAATAAAGATTTAAATGTGAACTATGTCTAATTAGAACGATTACTGATTATACATTAAAATGCTTCTTAATGAGAAGATATCTTAACGAAAATTACACTACTATTTATGTACCTCTCAAACTACAAATATTTCCATTACTTAATGCTCGCTCTTCTTTGAAATATGTGATGCGTTAATGAAATATAATGTTTAGTTCTCAATTCTCACTGGCTTTCATGGAAAAAAAAACTATTATCTAGAAATTTCAAAATTTCAAATTCCTGTGTAGCACCTCAAATAGTCTACTATTAAAATTTTAGCAAGTTACCGAAATTATGAATTAAAAATATAAAAATTACTTGCATTTAAAATGACAACTATGTATCTTTTTAAGTTTATAATATTTTACTTTTAAAATTGATGTCTAAGCAATTTAAGCTAAATACTAACCACCAGCCTTTAATTTTAGAATTGACCCACTGAAAGTTCAAATAACAGAATATGAAATCATATATTAAAAACCAACTATTAAAAATAACAACGACAAATTGTACTTGTTCATAAGAAGTTCTTGGCTCTGATTGAGATCCCCTTCAGGTATAGAGGATACGAAAAAAAATAAAAAAACATGAATATTTATTTCAAAATTAATTTTCATAAATAGTATAATAATCAAAATGCTTTTTTCTTAGTTCATCATTTATACTGTGGATATTAGATTTATTACTAATCATTAACATAATCAAACTTATGGAAATAAGTGGCGTATTTCGCGGATTTAATTAAGCATTAATTAATTAAGCGGATTTAAATTACCAATTAATAATTAGGTTTCATAATTTTAACAATGAAATATACTTAGATAAATGCATTAATTGTCAAGAGAAGTCTATGAAGGGAAAAACGTCATTATAATAATATATTTTCAGTATACCATTGACTTGACTCCAACTCCAAAATTAAATTGGCCACAACTCAAGATATTAAAAGTGTACACGTAGAAACTGTGATTCCAAAATTAATTTGGAATATTTCTATCTGGAATGTTGAATCTGGTTCATTTTTCTTTCTTTTTCCTTCCCCCTCTTTAACTAAAGTTATAATCTTATGCACGATATCTTTTTGTTAATACATCCACATACATATTTAATTAAAGAATATACTCTAAAAAATGTTTTTAGCCTCAAAAACACTTTTTTTCTGTTGCTATATCCTGGAAAATTTGCTTATACAAAATGGAAGGAAAAGTTTTTATATAAAAATGCACCTTCCCTATGCGCATATCACCCAAAATTTTGAAAAGTGGTGGAATTTTGTTGCCATTTTTAATTTTTTAATAATTACTCTCTGCTATCGAAATACAATTGTTCCTAATGTAAATTTTAGGACATAAGAAACATGAAAAAAGTTTAAAATCTGCAACTTTCCAAATTATTTATTCTTTGCGCAAAGAGCTCAAAAAACACAATGTTTTGTAAAAATGACAGGATTTCGTGATAACTATGATATAAACGTGATATAAAATTATCAAGAATTTTATAATTTGCGTTTTAATAAGCAAGTGGTCAATGCATTTATCATTTTTTCTTTGTTGTTTAAAAGAGTGGAACTTAAAATTAGCTTTTCGGGAAAATTCTGGCATAATATATTATGATAATAGAGTCAATCTGATCTAGCCGTTTGTTGGATCAGTATCACATACGGTTTTGGATGCTTTAGTCACAAATTAGACACACCATTGGAGAACTCACGTGTGATAAGAGAAACTTTGTAAATCTGGATGCAGCGATGTGCAATCGATGTGCTATTACCCTTTTAAATCTTTTAGAATTTTGTAGTTCTTATCCGTAATGTTCCTATATAGCAGGGGTAGCCAACGTTTTCGTATACAAAATCTACTTTTTATCTTAAAAGTATGTTGCAATCGACTTGCTGTCATAGGTATAGTCTAAGGGGGGAGAAGGGTGTAAAATACATACAATATTTTATACACTGTGTTTCAGTATAAGGTACATTCCAGCGAGGTATGGGTAGATAAGTAAAATATATGTTTAAAGCTATTTTTTATTTTTGAAATCACTTATTAACTTTTTTAGATATAGGTTCATAAAGAAAATAAACTTCCAGATCCAACTTTTAATACCAGGATTCCGTACATGTGGTGCCTAAAAAATTCGATTTTTCTACACGTTTTCAAGATAGATTGTTTACTAACAAAAAACGCAATTTAATTTTTTTATGTTGTGTAATATGACATAAAAATGTTGTACATATTTTTCATATTTTTATGTATGTGTTGTATATGTATGCCATGTATAAGTTGATGTACTATTTGTTCTTTAATATGGAAAAGTTGTTATAAGAATGCATAGTATAGCTGATAATTTGATTTCAGTGCCTCACTTTCGCATTTTTATTCCTCGAGAGTAATTTATCACGAAAGAATAACACGGCTTACTTTTTGCTAATCTATCAATAGCTCACTGAGCATAACTCGTACTGAAATATAGATATGACATACTGAAACACTGAAGTATAAGGTTTATCTACCTACGTTAATTATTAACAATATTTATGAATTCAAAGTAGCTGCAGATACAGACAGATTTAGCATTTACTTTGCTGCCTTAAAATCAATGGGAAGATTGAGTTTGCATGTCCCTAACCAAGGAATCACAATTAGGTGTATATCCTGACAAAGATAATAATAATGAGTCTTTAGTATGGGAATCAGTCAGGACAGAACGTTATTTAGTCTTCGTTAGTTTCAAGCATGGAAATGCAGATTCGCATAGGTATGTAGATCCAAAACAAGAATAGTTATATTCGCTACATTTGGTGATATTGCTATATTTTTCTCGGTTGACAGATTTCCAAAAAACTTCTTTAAATTTTTGAGCTTGTAAGATTCAGTAAGTAAGTTTGCAAAATTATAATTTCATTTTTTAATATCTTTTGATCCATATGAAATATGTCTGAAATTTTTTGGCTAATGCGTTTCGCACTTAAATCTTTTTTAAAAGGAAAAGATATGAATTCCACAATTTCTTTAATTTTTGCAAAATCCTGGAATTTCATCTCAAAATCTTCAATTACTTTTTGGATTTACGCGACATATTTGTTGATCTTGAAATTAATATTTTTATGTTTTTGTAGGTTATTCGCCATAGTTGGAAAAAGATTCAGATTATTTTGTTGCAGATCTTCTATTAGCAAAATAAATTTTGTTTTATATGCATCTATGCAGCTGATCATACCAATTACTATTTTATTTTTACCTTGTAATTCTAAATTTAAATGACTTAATATTGAAGTAAAATCAATAAGAAATGTTAAGTCACTAAGCCAAGTTTTATCATTTAAATTTTCACAGTTTCCATCTTGTTCGGGAAGAAAATCTAAAATTTCAGGCAATCAATGACGAAATCACTGCAAAAATTTACCTTTGCTTAGCCATCTGACAGCGGTATGTAGTAATAACTCAGGTTGCCCTTCGTACAGCTGCAGTTGGAAGAACCCCGTTTGAGACAACTTCCTCGAACTGAACTAACGATTTTAAATGCTATGCCCATTACCGCTTTTGTGTTTAATCTCTTGCTAGATAACACTTGCTGGTGAATTATGCAGCGATAGCTCAAAAAGTCAGGGAATTCATTTTCATTTTGACATAGGGCTATAAATCCATTTATTTTAACTATCATTGCAGCTGCGCCATCCGTTAATATTGAGATTAATTTAAAAAGTGGTACTTTCAAAGCACTGAGCACGATTTTAAATGATTTTAATATGTCTACATCTCTAGTCCTTTCCTTCAAAGAAATCATACCCAACAATACTTCTTTACCTGTAAAATCCTTATAAACCATACGAACGAAAACAAGGAATTGTGCCGTATTACTTATATCTGTCGATTCATTACACTGAAGGGAAAAACAAAAACATCTATTAATATAGCATTATATAACTGCTCTTTCACATTTCCACTCATCCTCTCAATTCGTCGCATCACTGTATTTCGAGACAATTGTAGAGCTTGAACTGCATCAACAAGTTCACTCTTGTTCTTAAAATCATCAAAAAGTGAATCTGTCTTTTCTAAAAAAAATTATTTAGCAATTCGCAGTCGGAAAACGGCTTACATTTTTTTTAAGCTAAGAGATAGCTTACTTTGAATGATGCAGTAGTTACTCCGTGTGACTTCATCCTGGCTTTTTAAAAACGCTTTGTTGATTTGTTAATTGAGTTTTAAGATTCGTAACTTTATGTTTTCTCAGTTCAGAACCTGTTTGATATTTTTCATGTAAAGCTAAAACATGTCTCTCCAGATTACCCTT